GAGCAAACTGTCAGAAAATTTATCTGGCAGAATATCATCACTCGCTTTGGCATCCCGAGAGTATTTGTCTTCGATCATGGGAGGCAATTTGATAACTTACCGCTGAAGCGATATACAGATCAGTTCGGCATCAAACTGGCATATTCAGCGGTATGCCACCCGCAAAGTAACGGACAAGCCGAAGCTGCGAATAAACAGATCTTAAATGCCCTCAAGAAGAGGGTGGAAGATCAAAAGTCCAAGTGGCTGGAGGAGCTCCCTGGAACCCTTTGGTCCCTTCGGACAACTGAAAAAGAGGCAACGGGCCACTCACCTTTTGAACTGGTGTATGGTGTCGAAGCCGTCCTTCCAGTGGAAATTGGCTCTGAGAGCCTTCGAGTGCACCACTTCTCGGCTGAGAATGAGCGACTGATGAGGGAATCTCTCGATTTCCTCGACGAAGTAAGAGACTCAGCCCGAGACAGAATGGCCGCCTATAAGCAGAGAATCAACAAATTTTATAACCGAGGGTCCATGCAAGACCTCTCAAAATTGGAGACCTTGTCCTTCGGAATGCTGCTGCAGTTCAGAAAGGCCGAATCCATGGGAAACTCTCAGCTGCATGGGAAGGACCTTATGAAATCTATGATGAACTTCAGCCAGGTACATACCGACTTCGACAGTTGGATGGAACTGAGTTGAAAAATCACTGGAACGCTGATGTACTGAAAAAATACCATGTGTAAACCCTTCGGGCAGAACAATCTTTGTAAGTACATTTTGAATTAATGAAAGGCCTTGGAGCCGCCATTTATATAAATGTTTACAACTTTTTATCCTTTCAAAATTTTCTTTGTTCTATCTACTCTTTAAGGGTTTTTATTCAGCCTCGTCTGAAACCTTCGCCTTCGGGTAACTGGGTTTCAGATTACTGACAAAACTCGTCTTTTTAAAGAACACTGGTCTTTCAGCTGAAGTCAAACTTCAGTAAGACTTGTTCTCCAAAGACATGAGTCCATGGATAATTCTGGGATATTGCCTTAACTGAGCCTTGTATCCCAGAGAGCCATTATCCGAAACATTGCCTTAAGTTGGCCCTGTGTTTCGGGTATCCATTTTTCAAAGATAGACAGAAAATCAAGGATAACAGCAACAGTTGAAAATTTTTAAATCAGCCTCATCTGAAACCTTCGCCTTCGGGTAACTGGGTTTCAGATTGCTGACAAAACTCGTCTTTTTAAAGACATTAGTCCATGGACAATTCTGGGATATTGCCTTAACTGAGCCTTGTATCCCAGAAAGCCATTATCCGAAACATTGCCTTCAGTTGGCCCTGTGTTTCGGATATGCGTCTTTTATAAGAACACTGGTCTTTAAGCTGAAGTCAAACTTCAGTAAGACTTGTTCTCCAAAGACATGAGTCCATGGACAATTCTTGGATATTGCCTTAACTGAGCCTTGTATCCCAGAAAACTAATATCCGAAGTATTGCCTTCAGTTGGCCCTGTGTTTCGGATATCCAATTTTCAGATGAAGTCAATCTTCAGTAAGACTTGTATTCCAGAAGCACTGCCTTCAGTTGGCCCTGTGTTTCGGATACCCATTTTAAAGAAGTGAAGAAATTGTTTATTCAGCTGAAGCCATACTTCAATTTCTGGTGGGGCAAGAAAGCACTATCAGTGCAAGTTTATGTGCGGCAGAATGAAAGAAAGTAAGGCATTCAAAAACAAAGCAGCTGAAGAAAAGAGCATTAAATTAATAATTCATGCTCAGAAATTGAGCTACAAGTTCAATTAAACTGTATCGGCAGCCGCCCACAAGCGGAAAATAACAGCTGCCGAAATACGTACATAAGCAAAAAAAATAAACTGTTGTACGACAAGGCAAAGCTGAAGCAAAAAACAAGGCAAAAAATTCAGAAAGCGGCAAGTCTAAAGTTAAGCGCATGATGAACCGCAAGATTCTGAAGACGACTGCCCGAGTTCCTATGCTTCAGCCTGAGGATCAGACTGATCAGCGTTGTTGAGCCCCATGGTGGCCTCAGCCCCAGCAGCAGAAGAAGCAGGCTTTGCACTCTGCCGAGCCTCCATTTCCCTCTGTTCAGCTTCCAACTCCATTCTCTCAGCTTCCTCTTCGGCTTCCTCAGCCTTAAGAATTTCAGCTTCGACTGGA